CACCCCTCCTGGCGTAGGGCTGGAGGGTCACTTTGGCTTGGGCCGCACGCCCATGGAGCGCCAGGTTTGTTTGTCCCCACGGTTGAAAAGTCCTGAACTCAAGGCCTGCCCTCGAGGAAGGATGCTTCCAGGGATGCCACCCCTCGGTTCTGCCAAGGCGATCCTGCTTTCCTTGCCTTTCACTTCGGGGGACTCAGAGATCGCAGGGGAGACCCCTGGACATAAGCCAAGACGGCATTTTGTAGGAAGCTCGCCCGCTGGGCCTCCTCGTCCCGGATGCGCGCGATCTCAGCCTCTTTGAGTCTCAGCTTCTCTCGAAGGGACGCGTTCTCGCTCTCCTTGTCCAGCAGCGCCTCCCGGTGGTCACTCGCGATCACTGCAGGCGAGGGGTTCAGTGAGAAGGGGCCGCCGCTGAGACCCTTTCCAGCTCACTCTCAGGCCAGGTGTGAATGAACGCACCTTTCAGCTGTCGTTCCAGGGCTGCCACTTTCTCCCTCAGAGTCTCCTGGGCTGTCAGCTCGGCCCGCAGGCGGCCCATCTGCTCCTGCAGCTCCACTCGCACTCTGGTCACCTCAGCTACCTTTTCCTGGTCTTTGTTGCTTAACTCCTGTGGGGTATGGGGATGAGACCCAGCAGCAGCAGGCACCCCTGGGACCTGCATCCCTGGAAACCCCACTACCTGCTGCAGCTCCTCTATGCGTCGTCGCTGCCCCTCCACCTGCAGGCTGAGGTGGCTGGCCCGCGCCTGGGCCTCAGCCACTGTCTGCTTCTGCTGTATGCAGGTGCCCTGAGCTTCATCCCGGGCTTGCGCCAGCAGCCGCAGCTTCTCCTCCAGATGAGCCAGGTGCTGTTGCTGCGGGCATGGGAGGCACTGCTGCCCAAGGGCCTCCTGGCCTGAGCAACAGTACACATATGCGCTGACTCCCACCTCTAGGCAAACTGAGGGAGGGCTCCACAGTGCCACTTGTTATCTCTGTGCCTCCAGGACTATCCCCTGGTGCAACCCCAGGCCTGAGTCTAGCCCTGTTGATTCCTGGTGCTGCCCTCTCCCCTCTCAGAGGCCTAGCTATGGGGCCCCACAGCCCTGGCCTTGCCCACGTTAGCCACATTCCCAAGGGCTCATTAGTCCCACAGGCCTTGCAAGGTACTGCAACCAGCCATGTGTACCTGTGGCCATGCCTCACCTCCTCCAGGCGGGCCTGGTTCCTCAACCAGCCATGTGTACCTGTGGCCATGCCTCACCTCCTCCAGGCGGGCCTGGTTCCTGGCCTTGATGAGCTCCTCCTCAGCCTGGCCACGCTCGCTAAGTGCTGCTGCCTTTACACGGCTCAGCTCCTGCACCGACACCACAAGCTAGCCCATCCTGCTCTGGCTCAGGATCCCTTCTGGGCCATGGGGCTGAAACCAGGAAGGTGTGCTCCAGGGTTCCAAGACGGGACACAACTGGAGCTGCCACCCCTCATTCACCCTAAGCTGGAGCTTGCCTCAGTCCACGTGGCTCACCTCCTCCAAGGACAGCCTCAGAGCCTCCAGCCTCTGCAGCCTCTCCTGCATGGCCCTCTCACTTTCCTCCAGGTGTCGGGTCATATGCTCCACCTGCTCAGGAGTGGAGTCTGAGGTCAGGGTGGGGAGGTGCAGGCTCTCCAGCCCACCCCATGGAATCCCTGCCCTGGAAGGCACATGTCTCTGGGGGCACCCTGAGGGTGCTGGTAGGACCAAGTACAAGGGCACAGCCCAGCCCTGGTGCCCTAGGATGCATGCCAGAGCAGGGCAGGTGGGCATCCCTTTGCCTGTGGGGAGCACACATCAGATTGCACAACGCACACTGGAGGGCCTGGGCCTGCCACCAGCAACTCAAGGCCAGTGAGGGGACCCCATGAGGGGTGCGCTTTGGGGCCATGGCAGCCTGTCTGTCTGCACCAGGTGGATGGGGGAACCAGGGGCCCCATGATGTGCACCAAGAATGCACCTCCTTGAAGCGCAGTTTTTCGGAGTCCTCCATGTTCTGTCTGGCCCTTCTCTTCTCCACATCCAAGCGCTCTAAAGCACAGGAGGAAAATGTGATGAACCTTCTCTGGAATGCTCCATCCCTGGGGCTCCCTGTCCCCTCAGTGGCAGGCCTGCCTGTGCCTACCCTCAGCCTGGACAACTCGAATCTTCAGCTCAGCTGACGTGTTGGTCAGCTCCTGCCTGGTCAGAAACAGCTCTTCCTGCTGAGATTTTAACTTCCGCTCCAACTCATCCACCTGGAAAGCCAGCAGCATGGGCCGGAGCTGGGCCAGCCAGGCTGGCCCCATCTTGGCTCCCTGGGTGGTGACCCCATGACCCTCGTACCTGGTTTCGAAGCAGCAGGTTCTTTTCAGTGGCAGCAGACAAGTCTCTGAGGAGCTTAGACTCCCGTTCTGCAGCTTCCTGAGTTGGGTGTGGGGTGAGTACCACTGGTTACACTGCTGCCCCCCCCACCTGCCCGCTCGCACGTGCCCCACCTGCTGCTCCAGCCTGCGTTCTTTCTCTTCCCTCTGTGACAGACTCAGCCGTTCCTGCTCTGCCGTGGCCAGCAGCTCCCCCAGGTCCTGGGACTTCTGCTCCGACAGAGCCAGGGCAGCCTCAGTCATCTGCAGCCTGCAAGAAGAAGGGCCAGCCAGCTCCGCCCCAACTCCATCAGCAATGTCCGAGGGCCTCTCTCCTGCAAACCCAGCCAGCACTCACCTCTCACAGAGAGCATTCGTGAGTAACCACTGCCTCTGCCTGTGCACAGGCCGTACTCCCTTCCCCTGCCCCCTGGGCACAGCTCCAGTGCTCTGAGGTCACCCCTCTCCCTGCTTACTTGGCCTTGAGGGCATTGATGATGGAGTGCCTCTCCTTCAGGGCTTCCTGAAGCTGCCCCACACGTGCTGCCGATGCCCTGTGTGCAGAGGAGGGTCTGAGAAGCCCAAATCCGGGAGCCCTCCCTGGCCTGCCCAGCAGCCCTGGTTCCTTCTGCACCTGTGGCTCACCAAACTCGGAACTGAGAGGTGTGTGACACCTGCACTGACCCTCCAGCCCTCCTGGGGAAGCTCACAATACAACTCCTTCTCATTCTCAGGCAAGTGACCCCAGGTGTGCAGCTGAGCTGCAGCCCCACCTCCCCAACCCTGGGCCCACTCACTGGCTGCTCCTGGCCATCTCTTCTCGCTGCTTATCGATTGTCTCCATCAAATCCAGAAACTGGGGACAGAACAGGCCAAACCCTCTTCAGGGTCCAGAGACTGCTTGTCCTACCCTGACCAAGCAAAGGAGAGCAGACGCCCACCTACACAGTTGGGCAACACTCAGCCCCTGGCCCCATGCCTCATTCAAAGGAAAAGTGCCCTGCAGAGAGGAGCTGGAGGCTGGGACACTGGCTCTCACGTGGCACAAGGAAGTAGGACCAGGAGGTCACCTTAGGGGTGGTTATCTGTGCCTCAGAGGCTCCAAGGTCTGGAGGAAGGAAAGATAGGTATAGCACGGGTGCGAGGGAGTAGAGAGCGGGCCACAGCCAGCTGCATCCACAGCAGCCAGACTGGGCTGTGGGTAGCTCCGAGGTCTGAGAGGTTGTCTGCTTACCTGCTTGGACTTCTCCTCCTGGAGGTACTGGACCTCCTTGCTGAGCAGGTGGGTGCGGGTCTGGGTCTCCTGGAAGGCAGTATGCCGGTCCCGGTTGTGCTCCATGGCTTGCTCTGTTGGAAGGAGCTGTATTACCCACTGGGTGGGTATCTGCTCAGCCTTAGGAAAGGCAGAAGACTGGCCCAGCCCTGCACCGGCTATACTGGAAAAATGGCCATTTGGGAACCAACACTGTGGCAGGTACCATCTCTAAAAAATCGACACACCCGCCTCCAGTACAGGGGTGGAGGGGCTGGATGCAGGAGGTGCCTGGTATGGGGGCATCTCTTGCACATCTGGGGAGGTCACTCCACCACAAGGTGGCCACCATGCTGGAGCATCCGTCCTCTACCACAAAGGTTAAGGGCCACTGTATGACCTTAACAGGTATTCTGGAAAGACCTAGGCAGCTGTAGAAATCAAAAGCCCTTTCTACAGCTAATGCTTGCATGGAGGAAGGTCTAGGAACAGTGAGAATTTGGAGATGACAGAGAGTTAGGCAGAACCATCAGGAGGAGGTGACCCTATGGCAGAGGAGTGTGGAAGAGGCCACGGTCCAGACTCTGGGCCCATGCTCAGACTTCTGTGGCTAGCATTGTACAACAGATGGAGGGTTAGAAGATGTGGATCTGCTATCCTGGGGCTGAGGTGTCATCCACAGGGACTTGGGGGAGGGGTCACCAGTAGGAGAGGCCATAGCTCAGGCAGAAGCAGCATAGGTCATGTGGCCCTGTACCTACAGGTCTCATATGCACAGCCACAAACACAAGGATGACCAGGAGACAAATACCAAGAAAATACCCTTCCTAGCTAGGGCCAGGGCTCCTAGTCACAGGGCCCCAAGTTTGCCGGTCTGTGAAATGTGACATCCCTCCCCCATGCGGTGTCCTAAGAACTGAACGAGCACATGGCTAAGTCCTCGACAGCCACAAGCAGCAGGCACCTAGTGGGGGCCTTCTGCTCTTCCCTCATCTTCCTGGTGCCTTCCTAGGCTGGGCTACTCCTGATAAGCTTACCTGTCCACAGCCCTGAGCTGCCCCCCTCCCATGGTGGACAGGCCTCTGTCAAAGGGCTTCATGCCTTGCTCCAAACTGAGCAGCAAGCAGCCTCGTGCACCCGTACCCACGGCTCTGAGGACATCACTGGGGACGTTGTTCCCAGCCAGGTCCAGCCTCCACAGGGTTCTGTTGCTGGGGAGACAGTTCACCAGGGCCCGGCCCCCCAGGAGGCCAACGTTATTCCAGCGCAGGTCTGGAAGGAAACCTGTTGTCACTAGATGGAAGGCACCTGGCAGAGTGGGGGAGCTGGCCTAGCCCAGGTTGCTTCCCCTGCCTCTGGTTGCCAACAAAGCAGGAAGCCCAGCCCACTCCTTCCAGCAGCAGAGGGATGAGGGAGCTGGGGATGAAGGAGACGCCACAGGTCCCACCAGGGAAGCCCGAGTGCAGAAGGCCTCACCCAGCTGCTGGAGGGCAGCATTGCCCTTTAGGGCCAGGGCCAGCTCCTCTGCCCCCTTGTGACTGATCTGGTTGTTGCGGAGGTCCAACTGCTGCAGGGTGCTGTTGGCTGCCAAGCCCCCACAGAAGGTGGCAAAGGCATCTTCCCATGTGCCCAGGTTGTTCCACTCTAGGGTGAGGCTGTGGGAAGGGGACTCGAGGTGCTCAGCCCAGTGGAGCACCTGACCTAGGGGGACCCAGGGCCTAGAGACTACAGAGGCTGTGGGTAGAGGTTGGAGCCTCCTGAGTGATTCATACCCATCCACTCCCCACCGACGGATGTGGAACCCAGCCAACAGGACTATGTCCTCTGGGACCAGCCCCGAGCCACAGGGACCTGGGAGGTGCAGGTGGGTCGGATGGTGCTGTACCTCTGAATGGACTGGTTCTGTCGAAGGAGTTTTCCCAGAGCCTCAGCCCCTGCAGCTCGAAGGTTATTGCCCTAGGATAGGAACAGCCTGGCCAATTACTTCCTGTCACCCTAGTAGGTTCTGAATACCACATCCCTACCCCTTAGAGCTTTGGTCGGGCAGTAGACAAGAGTAGGGAGGCAAGCTCTGGAAGAGGCACATGTCCTTTCAGAACCTAGTTTCCCTGTATCCTGGGACTGGTGCACTCAGCGTTTATGGGAGCACTGCCCTCAACACAAACATGTGTGGAACAATCAGAGGGGAGTCATGGAGGCCCTGGGCGCCAGAAGATCTTACAGACATGGTTTCTGGCCACTGTCAAGACCCAGACCCTAGGACCCTGCATTTCCCCCTCTCCTACCCTAAGTGCAGGCGGGCTCACCTTCAGATCCAGAAACCGAATGACAGTGTTGGCACACAGCCCTTGGAGCAGTAGTGTGGTTCCTGGATAAAGGAGATGAGTGGTCACTCTCTGCCTCTGCTGGCCCTGAGCCCTCACTGTGGGCCCCATCTCAGGGCATCTCCTCAGACACAGGAGGGAGGACTGCCCTGCTGTTCCCACTGTTCTGGGTTTACAATAGAAATCAGTCTTCTTGCTCCTTGTAAAGTTAGTTTGAAACATCTGCTGCCCTGCCAGGCAGCACTGGGCCGTTGAGACCTCAACGTTAAGGCTCCTCTTCCTCAGCTATACAGGGAAACTGCCCTCTGCTCCCAGATTTTGGGAGGGGACACTTTCTCACTTTAGGATATACAGGGAAGAGGAAACGATCAAGTGGCACAGAAGAATTCCCTGCCTGCAGCTACAGAGGCCAGCCCTTTAAGTTGCAGAGGCCACCCTGCAGCTCAGGCACCCACCTTCCTCGCTCAGCATACAGTCGCTAAGGACGAGCTCTGTCAACAGTGTCTGACTCTGCAGCAGCTTGCCCAAGGCCCTGCAGGTGTCCACCGTCAGGCTCTGCGTGGCCAGGTCCAGCCGGCCCCGTGGAAGCTGGTGCAGTTGCTGCAGGACAGCCTCCTGGGGTTCGGACCCACTCTCCTTGCACAGGCGGCTGTAGGAACGCCGGAACTCCTCCATGTCCCCGAGTGCGGACTGGGCCTCCCCTTCATGCTCCTAGAGACAGGCTCCACATAAGCTGGCTGGGCAGGCGACCGAGGGGCCTCCTCCCTGGGGGCCTACACCTAACTGCGGGAGGGGCAGCCGCTAAACACCCGGCTCAGCGCGGGCACTCGTGGCGCCCGGGCGCGGTCGGCGCCTCGAACGACGGGGGCTGGGGGTGAATTTCGCTGATCCTAAGGGGGTGGCCTAGGAGGGTGGGATGGGAAGGTGGATGGATGGTCGGGACCGCTCAAAGGGGGCGTCCCAGGTTGGCCAGGGAGGTCAAGGAAGCAGGCAGGCGCGTCGCACGTACCCCGAACCCACCCTACGGACCCCGCGGCTCCCAGCCCGCCCTCGCGCCGCGGAACCCACTAGCAGCCTCCGCACTTCCCGCGGCCCGGGGCGCCACAGTATCCAGGAAGAGCAGGGCACGCCGGGAACGACGAAGGGGACTACAACTCCCAGGAGGCGTTGCGGAGGAGTTGCTCACCAAGAACCAATGAGAGAGAAGGGCGGGCGCGCGCTGCAGAATGCAAGCCTAGGAGCTCCGGCTCATTGGCTGGGAGTGGCGGTGTGGGGGCGGGGTTACAGGGGAAGCGCTCCGTATCATTGGCCAGGGGTGTGACCAGGCTCATTGGCTGAGGCGCAGGTTTCGCGGAGCGCGGGCTGCGGTGGCGGTCATGGAAGGATCCTGTGCGGGCTTCCGGAAGGTGAGACCCATGGCTGGCGGGCTGAGGGTGCTCACGCTGCAGCCCCTGCGTGACACCTGAAAGGGCCCGAAGCCTGTCCGCGCGCTCCTCAAAGGCGAGGTATCGCGGCCAGACCGAGGGGTCTGCGGAGGCAGCCGGGCCGCCGTCCAGCCTCGGAGCCGCGGGGCGTCCCACACCGCCCGGCTGCACGCTGGCCGGGCTCTGTCGGGGCAGAGGCGGCTGCGGCCTGCGTACTCACCGTGTGCGGGCGAAGCTGCCGCGCCGAGGCGTTCCCTAGGCGGTAGGGCCGGGATAGCCCCGGGCCCCGAGGACCTGGTCTTGGAGAGGAGGAGTTGCGGATCCCAGAGGGAAAGCGACTGCGGCTTGGGCACTGCCTGAGACAAGACCCGGGAAGGGTCACAGCCTGTCGGGCTTTGGATTAAGCCCACCTGGACAGCTAGATCCTTGCGGGCTTTGGCTAGAGCTGGGGTTGTGATCTTTACACACAAGAGGCGTCCTCAGCGAGGGTGACAGAGGGGACTTGTAGCCTTGTGAAGCCTGTGTGGCGGGGCCCCGGAGCTTGGCATGTTCACAGTGCCTTTGCTGACCCTGCCTTCCTGGAAGTCACTGCAGAATGACTCCAGCAGCTGTCGTCCAGCCCCAGGCAGTGGCTGCCTCTCCTGCGTGGTCTTCCAGGGCAGCATGCCAGGGGTCCTGGAGTAAACGGGGAAGGAGGCGTCTTCTCTGCCTCTTCTAGTACCCTCCTGGTATAGCACTTGATAAGAACAACCAGCAGGTGGCACTAGGCTCCTGTTCTCGTTGACAGGACCCCTTCTGGCCACTGGGCTGTCTTCCCAACAGGTTCTTCACCAGCTCTCAGAACTTTGCCTCTGCATTCACTTTTGCCCATGCTTCTCTGCGCTGGGTGAGACGGTGTGGCCTCCCTGTGGCTGATGCTAGTGGCCTGGTGGGTGCTAGCTCACCCTCCCCTGTGTGACAGCCTGTTGTCTGGGCTCCTGGGTGCCCATTGCTGCTGCCCTCCCTCCTCCCCACCTGGCCCAGGATGCTTCCTTTCTCATCTGCTTCCGGCCCTGCAAGTGGTCCCTTGGCTCCACAAACTGCATGGGTTCTTCTTGTCCAGCTGCCCTGACCCCCAGGTTCACTCACCATATCACCATCTCACAGAATAGTGACATCCTTTCAGGTGTCAAGCCACACAGAGGGAAGCCCAACAGCTAGGCCCCACAGCAGAGCCTACTTTTAAGACCTCAGCAGCCCAGTCTTTCCACGACAGTGCCCTTCCACCCACAACCTGGAAATGGCACCCAATTTCCTGCCAAGGAGAGCTTAACAGGTCTCAGGCCTTTGTCCAGCCCCTGCCTAGCTAACTGCAGCCCAACTCCTGCTCTCACCACTCCAGTCACCTCCACCAGAACAATGATGCTTCTTAGCACCCACCATGCGGCATGGAGCTGGTGCCAAGTGAGACAGTACTGGTGGGCAGCTCTTCCCAGGCCTCTGGAGCAGGTAGCTGTAGCATCCCCTCCGCCCTGCCCATTTGAACCAGGGCTCTGCTTCCTCATGGAGAGCCACTGCCCCTCAGGCCCCAGGGGTTGGTGATGCAACAAAACCTCTCCCTTTTTTTCTCCCCAGAGCCCTGAGGGTGAGGGTGACTCCCAATGGGATTTCTTATCCCTAGAAGGGGTCCCGCAGGCCCCCCTACCAGCCCCCCTGGACAAACTCTTCCCCCTCAGCACAGTCAGATGCCCCCCCAATCCTGAGACCCTGGGGTGGCAGTGCTTTCAGCTGGAAGTCAACCCGTTCCTTCCAGAAGGGGTTGACCCTCCCTCCCCTCCAGGAGCTGGTGAGCAGGCTGCTGCACCTGCACTTCAGGGATAGCAAGACCAAAGGTGAGTGCCAGTGGGAAGCCTGCGGGAGAAGGCAGGTGTGGGGGTGTGTGGGGACAGGGTCTCCTGACGGCTCTCTTGTTCCTTACAGTCAGCGGGGATGCACTGCAGCTCATGGTGGAGTTTCTGAGGATCTTTGTTGTGGGTGAGCCAAGGGCCCAGCAGCTAAAAAGCAAAAAGCATTCAAAATTCTTTTACTTTTCAACGTGCACACTAAGCTTTTCTCAGTTCCCACAAACACCTAAGCTGTGCCCCTGACAGGGAGGAGCCACAGCCTGGCTCTTCTCAGGGGTGCCAGTGGGTGCAGGGGGTGGCGCAGGGCCAGGGCTCCAGTCCCCCGACTTTCACCCCCTCACTTCTCGGCATCAGAGGCAGCTGTCCGGGGGGTGCGCCAGGCCCAGGCAGAGGGTGCAGTGCTTGTGGACGTGGACCAGTTGGAGAAGGTGCTCCCTCAGCTGGTATGTGGAGTGCAGGATGGCCCGTCTGGGGTGTCCTGGGGGATGCCTGACTGGCTGCTGAGTGCCCTTCTCCCCAACAGCTCCTGGATTTCTAGGGATGTTCATCCTCCCTAGGTCACCCCCAGGGTGGCTGAGTGTCTTCTGAGGCCTGTGGGGTCTGCAGTGCATTGACAACAGTGCTATCACCTGGTTCCCAAGAACCTCCTCCAGTGTTTGAAGGACACTAAGGACCTAGCACTCGGTGCCCTTAATAGTATCCTGTCCCCGTGGCTCCCAGCCTGATGAGACTCTGGGACACACAGGCAGGTACAGGGAACAGATGGACTGGCTTGCTTCCCAATCCCAGCCATGCCAGTATGTGGTCTATTGTAGCCACCCCAGCATTAGAGCCCACCAGCAGCTTGTTAGCCATATGGGCCTCCCCTAGAGGATGCCCCCCCTCCGAGCTGCAAATTTGTTCCCACAGACGAACACCAATAAATCAACATCTCTTCTCCCAGGCTTTGCCTTGTTCCTCCTGGTCACCAAAGTCAAGTTGCTTCAAAGCCTTAGCCTGCATATCCCCTTTCATCCATCTTGGTAGAATGAAGCCACACCCTTAGGAAGGAGAGGATGGGCAACAAATGGCGTGTGTGCACTGCCCACCAGGGACTAGGCCAGGCCACAAGACAAGAGCCTCTACACATGTGGCCAGCTCTCCTACAACATACTCTTCCGTTCACAGGCCGCAGCAGGCAGTCATGTCCAGGAGCATTGCCATGTGCTGGTCTCGGGCCACGGAGCCCACTTACTATGGCCAGGACCAGGATACACAGGATGAGAGGGACCCAGAGACCAGATAGATGCTTCCAGGTCTTGTACCTGCTTCAAAGCCACGCTGAAATGAAAACGGGCTTCTCCCATCCCTGCTTGCCAATGGCCCCAAGCAAAGTACAGGTCAGCTGCAGGCCATGCCCACTGCCCACCTCAGCAATGCAAGGCTGTGTGGTCCCATGCAGGTGGTCTGGCAGTCCCAATGCTCAGACTGGCCAGCTAGCTCCACTTGTGCTGGAATTCAGGAGGCACACAGGGTCTTCTATCCCTGTCCCCAGCAGCACCTTGTAGGGCTATAGAGTCCCCTCCTTGAAGCACCCAAAGCTGCTGTGTCAGAACACAGGGCAGGGACACCGCTATACCACTGGGCACTTGGCATCAGATGTGGCCCCCTGGACTCCTGCAGGTTTCAGGTCTGGTGGGGGATGGGCACGTTTGGAGGGTGTGTGTTCAGGCCCCAGGGCAGGACGGACAGCGCCTGCTCCTGCTAGGGCCCAGAGTAGCCTTGGAGAACCTTTGGAGGCAGGAGCTGGCCTGGGCATAAGCCCCACAGGTCCAAGGAGCGGCTGGGTAGGCAGGACTGCTCTGAGCTCCTGTGTGTCCCCACTCAGCAGGCGGGTGTCTGCAGAAGTCAGGAGATCTGCAAGGGAGGGGCTGGCTGGTGGTGACACAAGGGCTCCAACTAGTGGAAGTGCCGGAACTGGCTCTGCAGTCCTGCTGGGGGCCCAGGAAAGGGTCACCAGGATACCCTATGCTAGACCCTGCCCAGGGCGGCCCTGCAGGGGTAGGGGAATGGCCTACCTTCTCCTCCTCCTCCTTTCTAGTAGAGTACTGAGATTAATTTGGTGACAATAGGGAGAAAGCCATTGCACCTAGGGTCTGGCCTGCCCAGACCTTTTGCAGGGGACACCAGAACTCTTGTATCAGGAACACCAGTCCAGCCAGGCTTCTTGGGGCCAGCCTGGTCGTGGTGGAGGAGTGAGCGGGACAGAGGCCTGGGGGCCTTTGCTTCAGGAAGGACGATGGAGAGCCTTGAGAGAAGCACGTCTTTATTCCTGCTTGGGGTGGGGTGGGGTGGAGTCCGGTCCTGCGGCTCTTGGATGGCAGCTCTCACCTCTTGCTGGCTGCAGCACAAACACACGGGGATGACTATGGGTCCTGGGACCCTTGCCCACCCTGGTCAGCCAGCCCTGCCTGCCCACCACCAGCACCTGGCAGCCTCAGCCACTTGGGCACCTTGCCCGGGTTCCTCCTCATGGGTTGCACTGCCCCTGGGAGAGACCCAGGGGGTCCCAGTGCCCCCTCCTCAGCTGCTGGCTCAGACTCCAGAGGCACAGCACCAGGGGTTGGCAGTGGCAGGGGAGACTTGGTGGCCCTGGACATGCACCTGGGATGAGACACAAAAGTCAGGACGGCTGGCACTGCCCAGGAGACCCCTGCACCCAGGGCACTTACCTAGCCACCAGCACATCCGCTGCAGAAGGGGAGACGGTGTGTTCCAGCAGCCCTGGCTCCAGGTAGAGGCCTGCAGAGGCACAGCCTACCCTCAGCCCCTTGGGGGGAGGGGACTCCCCCACCTTCCACCCACACTCAGCTCTGGGAGGGTGTTTGCCTGGGCAGGGAAGTAGGCATCTGGGTACAGACCTTCCCTCTAAGACCCACATGAAGTCCCCAGACTGAATACCCTCCAGGACTTCCTGCTTTGGGCATCAAATAAGCTGGGATTCATGGTACAGGGCAGTTGGCCAGGGTCAGCAGCATGGTGGTCTCCCACTCACCTGTTGGTTCCTCAGCTCCGAAATGTACAAGGGCAGCAGGGAAGAGGTTTGCCTGCAAAGAACAGGGGGCTCAGGGACTATGCAGCGGTCTGCTGAGATGGCCACATCTCCTCCCTACAGCAGCCTGCCCAGTTTGGATAGGGACCCAAAGGACCGCCCCAAGCCCCACCTGGAAGTGCACTTATTTCTGTGACTCCTGCATTTCCCGTCTCCTCCCTCCCACCCTTCTGCCCACAGCAGGGTGAGTAGTCAGCACTCTGAGGGCCAACTTCAAGGCCAACCAAGTCGGAAGGGACAGTGCTGGACAGGTGGTCTGGGAACCAAGGATGTCAGGGCAGGGCAACCTGCTGCTATCTAGGAACAGAGACCGTGAAGACAGGGGATGCCTATGACTCTGCTGACTGTCCATACCCCCCATACCTGGTATTGCCCCCAAACTGGGGGACTTTGGGCAAGGGGTCTTCCTTTGGGCTGACGGGATGCGCTCAGACCCAGTGGGAGATAATAGTGTCCTGAGAGGGCAGCCTGGGCTTGAAGGTGGGCTGCTGGTTTCCAGAGCCAAGCAGCTCTGGGGCCGCAGGCTGAGTGATCCAGCCAAGGCAGGGCATCCCTCTGGCTAAGCCAAGAGGGCACAGGCTGCCAGAGTCCCCGAGTTCCTCATGTCGACTCAAATAAGGGTGACAAATGCTCTGAAGCCCAGAGGAGTCTAGCACCAATTCCTCCCCAAAGCGGGCAGGGGTGCAGGTTCCTGCTTGGGGACTGGCCTCACTTGCTTGGGCACCAGTGAGGGAATCGAAATGTACAGGGCCACATGTCTCTGACGCCTTGGGCATGGGCTCTGAGAGCCACCAGTCAGGGCCTCTAGATCTCCCTCCTCCAGGCCAAGGCCTCTGCACCACCAGAGCAAGGTGGGGGCTGGGCCCAGCCAACAGGCCTGGGGCTCAAGCTATATTCCTGGAAGGAGCTACAGCTGCTAGTTGAGGGTGTTCTCTCCTCGAGGCTCCAAGCTGCTGGGAGTGCCCAGGGCTTGCCAGGTGGGTGGGGTTGGGGAACGTTAAAAGATTAATACGAGTAGGCTTCAAAGGCCAGGCCTAGGAACACTGAAACCTCAGCCTGCAGCCGGCAGCAAGGGACACAAACAAGGGCGGTGAATGCTTTGAAACCCAACTGTGGGGCAGGCATCAAAGCCTAAGAGGAGGCCTGGGGTGGGGGCCTACTCAAAGCCCCTGCAGAGGCCCTGGAAATGGAAGCCTGCCCTGGTGGAGCATGGTGGTTCTTGCCCTCACGTGAGCCTCCCATGTGGCTGGCCCACCTCCACACCCAAAACACGTGTCCCTATGGGACCTGGCCAGGGTTCACACGCAGGCCACCGCCCCACAGACACATCTGGGAAGTTCGCCCCATCAGCACTGGCCATGTGCTCCACACCCACCCCAGCCAAGTGGGCTCCCTTGGAAGCTTCCAGGAGGGACCACCCAACTCCCTCAGGTGGGGCCCCTCACCTGGAACTGCCTGTGCAGAGGGGCAGTCAGGACCAGGAGCACCAGGCCAGGGAAGGGACCTGCAGGGATCCCTGGCAGAGCAGCCAGCACTGCGCTGAAGGGACGAGGAGGTGGGGCAGCAGGCTGGGCAGCATCAAGGCTGGCTAGTGTTCAGGGGGGCTAAGCCTGGGCCTCCTTGAGCCTTAGGGCACCTCCCACCTGTGGAAGCCTCCAGCTGGGCCCCCAAGAAGCCCCAAGAAGTACCTGCCCTCCAGGACCCAGGAACTGCCCCATCTTCACTGCCACCTCCTGTTCAGGCCAAAGAGCCAGGCAGCAGAGAAAGGCTGCTGCCATCTCTAAGCACAACCAGGTGTGCTCAGGCTGAGACCTGCTCAGAGGCAGCAAGTGCCTCCAGGGCCTTCTCCCTAAACCCAAGGGACAGCAGGCTATGCCTTCCGAGGGCAGGGGCCACAAAGTCCCTGATTGTGGGGCTCACATGCTTCTTATGGGCTGATGCCTGGGGTGGGAGCCGAGTCTCATCTGACCCAGGCTGCGGGGTACGCCAGAAAGGACCCTTGGAGCTGCTTACTCCTTCTGGCAAGCTGGAGTCTGGGGCCACCTCCACCCTCACATCCTTCTCTGCTCTCAACCTGGAGACAGGGCATGCAGCAGGGCCAGCCTGGGGGTACAGGCTTGAGGCCTTGGGACAGGAATCCTCTAGGGGAGTCCTCTAGTCCCCCTGGGCCAGCCCCGCCCCCAGCCAGGCCTTCCTGCCCACCAGTTCAGGGCTCAAGTCCTGAGTGAACCAGGGCCAGCAGAAAGGAGATCCCGCCATCTGTCCACCAATAGCCCCTGTTGGCCAATCTAACCCATTCTTGGGGCTGAGCACTGGCCAGGTTGCCAGGCCCTGGCCCAATCCCACCTGCCCATCCCCAGTAGACCCACAGAGAAGGGGTGGGGACAGACCTGACTACAACCTTCAAACCAACCGCTCCCCAAGACTTGGGGACAACTGAGAGCTCAGATGGGAAGGGAAAGATGAGGACATCAAGGAAGACGGATAGCAGCTGACACATAGCCCCCAGAAAACAGGGCAGGAGAGGCGGAACTCCTCCATGCTTCAGTGGCACCACAGGCCAGGCAGACACGGGACCTGAAGCTCAGGTCGAAAGGCCCCTGGAGAGCAGTGCTGGCCTTAAGGGCCCTGGGCAAGGTGGTAGGTGGGGGCTGAGAAGGGCAAGGTGAGGACCCTGGCTCAGGGCAGCACCCTCACTAGGGTGCTCCGGCACAGGAACAGGGTTTGCCTGTTCCCATTTGGAGAACGGTTCTTGTCCTCACTCCTGACCACCCCACCAGTCCTCCCAGAAAACCCTTGCTGTCCTAGGCCAGTGGTGTCCCCCACGGGCACCCCACACCATCGTTCTCTTAGGCAGGCTGGGCCAGACGGCCCCAGGCGGCAGGCGGTCAGAGCACAGCCCTGCCAGAGACATGAAAGCTGCGGCTTCCACACCGCCGCCTGCTCACCCGCCGGAGGGAGGCAGGCAGGCTTCCTTCCCGCAGCCCTGCCAGCTCTGATGATGGTGGGCATGGGCGCCACCCCTCACAAGGCCCTGAGGCTCAAGGCCCAGCAGACTGATGGAAGGAGACAGCTGCTGGTGGTGGGGCAGTGTCACCAGGAATCAGGCACGGTGGACTGGAGGTGCCTGAGGCTCAGTGGGGGAGCCTCCTGACGGGGGCGGGGGAGTTGGACTCTGGCCCTCCATGCCAAAGCATCTTCCAAATTCAATGTTTATCAGCAGGCTGGCCAGCAAGGCAGGGAGGGGTGCAGAGGGAGAAGCCTGGCGCCTGGGGCTTTATGGGCCGAGAGGGGACGACACCGTGACAGGCCGGCTATTGCATCTCCACGCCCCTCGCTTGCGGGTGAGGCTTGGTGAGCTTCCGGCCCGCCTGCCAACTTTGTACCCCACCTCGCCCCAATGGTGGTGGCTCTAGGCAGCCAGCAGAGCCTGTCACCCCCAACCCAGACCTCTGCAGAGGCCTTTGGGCTGCCTCTGTTGTTAATTAAAATATCTGAAGATTCTTTGAAGAGGAAACTATTAGGCCAGAAGGGCTGGGGAGGCTCCCAGCTGCTCTCCCAGGGGGCGCAGGGACAGGACATTCATCCCTCCTGGCTCTGCAAGGCAGCAGGGCAGGGCACGGGATGAACTGGCCTCCCAGCGCCAGGACCTCCAGGGGTGGGTGGTAGGGAGTGGTGGGCCTTGGGGACCAGGGGAAAGGCAGGAATATAGGCTGGCAAGAGCCCCCCAGCCCCGGTCCCCAGTCCCTCTCAGGCAGTCACTTCCAGCCAAGGGCTCCAACCAGTCCTGCCAGGGCCCTTCCTCACCCAAGTACTGGGCAGGAGACTCGTGTTACCCAACAGTCCAAGGGCCAGGACCTTCTGATGGCCCCAGCTCAGGATGGCTGGCCAGGCAGGCCCATCCCCGCCCTGGGGCCAGGCAGGAAGCGGAGGAGGTTGGAAAGCCCTGTCAGAAACAGCTTCAGAGGCCACGCTGCTCCCTCTGAGTTCCCGGCTCTAAAGGGCTTCATTACCGCGCAGCCGCCAGGGCACTCCTTCCCAGCCGCAGGCCTCGCCCTGCCAGCCTCCTGCCCTCAGCACGGCCACCCCACCAGCACCCCCAGCAAAGCAGGTAGTACCTGGAAGAGGGTCAGCGTGTGGTCATCCAGGACTGTTCTGGGGGGGGCGACAACTGTGGAGAGAAGGCACTGTGAGGAGACGAGCCTGAGGGGCTCCTTGCTCTCCTCTGTGGCTGCAAAAGTCCGGCAAGGGGTCCAAGGGGCTGGGGCACACCCACCCAGATGCAGCTCTCCCTGGACCACTGGCCTCTCCCTTGCACTGAGCCACAAGGTGGGGTTCAGGACACTCAGAGCCTCCCTCCCACCTCTGGCTCCTTCCTGCCTCCCCACCAGGTCCAACCATGACACTGACAGGTGCTGGTGGGGCCAGCTGCAGATTGCACGAGAGTGGAGGTGGGCGTGTGCCTGGGCCTGGACCCAGGAAACGGGGAGGGTAAGGAGTGGGCAGAGCGCAGGAGAAGGCACTCACACAGGTGAAACGGCAACTGGGGATTCCCCAGGTGGCTCCGCACGAAGTCTCGCAAGTCCCCCACTGCAAAGAGGGAGGGGAGCAGAGGGCTTCTCAGGACAGGCCCACACGCCTGCTTTCAAGGCCTACCTTAAACCCCCACTGCCGGAAGGAAGCCCTGCCAGCCAGGGCACCATCAAGTCAGCCTGGGCATACGGTCCCCACAGGTTGGATTCTGCTCCCACCTTCTTGGCAGAGGCCAAACAGGGATGGGACTTTCAACACTGCTCCTTCTCCAGCACACCAAGGCTCAGCCTGGCTGGACCACCATGCAGGCTGCTACTGGGCCCCGCTGCAGGGGAGGCCCGCTCACCCCCAGCCACGTGCCTCGCCAGGCCCAGAGCATCCCCTGTGCCTCTTGTTACCCATCACCTCAGTCTGAGCCCTGTCCAGGGGGAAGGCTCCCTCAGAGGCTGGTGTGCCACCTTGCCCCGGATATCCTGGGAAGATCAGACACCGTAGTCCCCCTGGGCCCCTTCTGCAAGGTGGGCCCTGAGCCCACCCTTCCTCTGGATGCCTGGTCGAATATGCTCTGAATGAACACCTGTACGTGAGCCTCCTTCAGCCAGGACTGGGCCCTGTCCCCCTTCCCTCATGGTCTGTGTCCAGGCTCAGAGCCCTCTGGCTGTCTGCAGAGAGCCCAGGTTCCCTGGAGCCCACAGGGAAATGGCCAGTGAGAAGGGCTCAGAGGGCCCCCACCTACCCCTCCACAGCAGGGCCACATACCTGTCTCGCTGGGGCGGAAAAAGCCCTGCAGGATGTAGCGGTCAGGGAAGAGGACCCTCAGAACCACCTAGGCCAGGACAAGTGGAACGGCCATCAGGGACTGTCAGAGTTCAGACTTGGCACAGGGAGATGCCCCCATCGGCCCCCAACCCGAGCAGTGTCAGCTGCCCCCC